GGTTAAAAGATGCGGAGCTTGTCAGTGGGAAAGCTGACAGCTGGGTTCGAGACCCGGCAAATAGAATGAGCTCCCGTTCCTGCCGCAGCTCCTGCTCACCTAGCAGCTCAAAAAGCATGCAAATGCAAGTAGATAAATAGGTACCACTTCAGTAGGAAGGTAACAGCGTGCCGTGTGCTTTTGGTGTATAGCCAGGTTGGTCACATGACCACGGAAAATGTCTTCAGACAACGCTGGCTCCCTTGGCCAAGAAATGGAGATAAGCACCATGCTCTAGAGACAGTCGGACACAACTGGACAAATGATGAACAGCAACTTTTTCCTTTTGGATCCAATTGCTTTAGTGTTACCTAAAAGAAAATTTAGAAATGAGGGAATCTGGGCTTTACACTTAAGCGGACACTAGGTAACACCATCTAATCATAGTTGGGTAGTGACACATCTACAAGAAAACAACCAAGCTCGAGGAGCATCAAGGACCCCACAACCAGCGTGGCTGATTGTTTAGCTAATATGTCATTGCCAACTCTTGCTCTACACTCCGTACTTTGCCCCAGTAGAGCCAGCTTAGATGAGGTGACTCATCTTTAAATAGATAGGACGGGACACTTAGAAGAAGTATGAGACGGTCCTTAATAATCCATGAGTTGATCTATGGATACAATATAGGAAATAGCACACAAATATAAATACGTTACACTTTAATGCAAATGAGTTGCAAATAACCTGCAATTTCATTGTGGGATTGGAAAACACTCCAATGCTTAGAAGATGCTTCTGTATTGTTAGCATTTTTGTCAGCTACACACCCATCTTTGCCATTGATGTTGAATTGTTGCAGAATTAGATTCTCCCGACGCTCTTCGGGGAAATTGGAACATCAAGACTATTTTCTCTTCATGCTATAATTATAATTTCCAGCCAATAGAGAGGAACTAAATTGGAAATGGGTGTTTTTAGTTCTTTAATTATCCCCTATTCTATCAAAGCAGGCATACAGATGTATGATAAATTCCAAGTCTGTAATTTCCAGAGGTTGTCTCTTAAATAGAAGCTTCTTAAATAGAAGCGGCATATAAATTGAACTAATTAAATTAAATTCTGGCTGTTGGCCTGTTTCAGTCTCATAAGATGCCTCATCACTCTGCTCTTTCTTTCTCTTGCTGTGGACCTTGGGTATTCTGGGTTAATCAAAACATTAACAATGCCTTGCAGAGAATTTATCTCTGGAGATACAGATAAAAGCTGTCTATGGAATAAAAGCTTGGTAGGCTAATGAGAACCATCTCTCTTCCCAATCTCCAAAGAGAGGAGGTATTTAAAAGGCATGTTTCCTGCCAGGTTAAGAAATGTGTTTATTGTGGGTTTAATGCGCACAAGTAGACTGGCGTGGGGAATGACTCTTAAGCCAAAATGTGATTTATTTGGGGTTAGGGTTAGATAAATGCTGTCATTTTAAAAAAAAAAAATAGTGGGCATCTAGCAAACAAAAAAAATCTCTATGGCCCAAAGGAAGGACACTGAACTAGGTGCCTTGTTCTCTACCTGGTAGTCCTTGACTTACGACCACCATGGAGCCCCAACATTTCTGCTGTTAAGCGAGACATTTGTTAAAGTGAATTTTGGCCCATTTTACAACCTTCCTTGCCACAGTTAAGTGAATCTGGCTTTCCCATTGACTTTGTCAGAAGGTCTCAAAAGGGCATCACATGACACAGGGACTCTGTAACCGTCATAAATATGAGTCAGTTGCCAAGCATCTGAATTTTGATCATGTGACCATGGGGATGCTGCAATGGTCATAAGTGTAAAAGTGTCAGTTACTTTTCAGTGCTGTTGTAACTTTGAATGGTCACTAAACGAACAATTGTAAATCGAGGATTACCTGTTATATGGATTCATTCATGTAATCTTTCTAACTTTAGCATATCATGGTACATGTTAAGTCATGTTTATTAAAAACTGGAGCTGGGCTTGCACGACATACGAAGCCAAACATACGTTAAATTAATAACTAACTGCATTAAACTAATAATAACTAGCTGGCTTGTAACACGTCTTCCTAAGAAACATACCACCCATTATGATGGACTGTTAGCCAATTTAGTTTTATTGCTGTAGTTGGGTTAATTGACTGAAATATTATATGTGAGTGTTGGTGAATATTCGAAGGTTTGGGATTTATTTTACTAAGCGGTGAAACCTGTTTGAGCCGAGGCTGTGGAAAAAGGACAGAAAGAGTGAGGATCCTGGACTGTTGAGCAGAGCTTATACAATCTTAAAACCTTCCTTAGAAATGCCCATACATTTTCCGAAGGGAGAAGATTACACTCGATGGGCAATCTGCCCTAAGAGACCATCCCTTCCCTGAAATATGTCATCTCTTAGGATTGTTCTAAGGCTGGTATTCCCCAGCCTGACGTCCACGAAGATCTTCTCCATCATAACCAAAAAATAGAGTATAGGCATTAGCATTCATTTAGTATCACTTAGAATGCCCCTGGGTAGCGGGATGAAATGCTGAGGCTCAATCCTTGCTTGCTACCCACCCTTTCTAGGAATTTCCGCCAAAACTTGGCAGTGAATTGTACGCCCCTGTCCGATATTATTCGCTGAGGAATGCCATGCAGCCTATATACATGTATAATAAATAATTTCGCCAGTCTCCTAGCTGACGGTAGGCCGGGGCAGGCGATGAAATGTGCTTGCTTAGAGAAGAGTTATTAGGGCACCCTCCAGAGATAAGATGTCTATAGCTCCTAAGACTCATGACCTCTCCCCCCAAAAAGGGGATGGGGCGAAGCTAAGATTAAAATGGATGATGTTCAAAACACTAGAAGCACCAATTTGTATTGTTTTGTGATGGATCACCATATAAATGGCAGCCATTTTGTGAAGGCAACTTATTTTCTGCCCTCAGAATCGCACATTTTTCCTTTCTAGCATCAGCCAAAGGCTGGGGCCTCTTCCAAGTCTGCCTTCTGGGTACTTGGAGCTAAATCAGCTTTGAATCCTCCTGAATCCTGTTGTAAGCTGAGATGCAAACTATTGAGAAATTCTGCCCAGAATACCTCCTTAAGATTGAAGGCATTAATTTTTTTTTTCAGTGAAAACAATGCAGAACAAATGGAATCAATGAAAACAAGCTGTAAGCTAATTTAGGGAAGTCTTTTTGCTAATGACAAAGCACCCTGCAGAAAAGGGCAGTCTTCAAGACATTCTTAAGGACCTCAGCTCATATACTTCATAGGAGATAGTGATAAGAGACCATTTCAAACTGAAGGTTTGGTCCTGCTTAGGAATTCTGGCAGGTCCATCAGATCTTCTAGTACTGGGGTCTCCAACCTTGGCAACTTTAAAACTTATGGACTTTAACTCCCAGAATTCTGGGAGTTGAAGTCCACAAGTCTTAAAGTTGCCAAGGTTGGAGACCACTTTTCTAGTAGGTGGAAGAAGCCCTCTGATGAATCAGCAAGGAAAAATTGTTTTCTAAAGAGGGGATGTTGGGAGATGTAGTCCGCACCTGTAAAATGGATTGGGGGGGAGAGAGAAAGGCCAACAGACAAGATTACACTGCAGCTAAGAGCTACTTTATGAAGCCTGGCCTTCAGGAGAACAAAGCAGAGCTTGTATGTCTGTTGCAGCTGCTTAGTCAACTCCTCTGTCCTTTGAGAGGGAAGTTTTGTTGCTGCTTTAAAAAGGGGGGGTACTGTGATTAATGTGAAGATCATTGGTGCCTTAGGATGGTTGGGCCTTTTGAAATAGGCATAAATCCTTCTCACTTGCATTCATGTTGTTTTCCCCCATAATGGCATGTCCAAGCCTGGATGGGAGTGGAGCCCTGAAGTCTGCCCAGATTCCAGCTTGGAACTGTAAAGGGATAGCAATTAATTCTAACCATATCTTGAATTCACTCATCTTGCCCTTGAGGATGGAGAGCTTCAGGCTCAAAGGTGCTGCAGCCCATTAGGTCTATGCAAAAATACATGATTTAGTTCAGTGCCAGTGTACTGGGAGCCTGGATAGCTCAACAGAGCGAGCTCTGTAATTTAACACCAGCTGTCTGCAATTAAAGTAAGATTGAATCTCACCAGGCTCAAGGTTGACTCAGCCTTCCATCCTTTCTAAGGTAGGTAAATTGAGGACCCAGTTTGTGGGGGCAATAAGCTGACTTTGTATAAATATACAAAAGTATGGAGGCTATTGCTTAACACATTGTAAGCCGCCCTGAGTCTCCAGAGAAGGGTGGCATATAAATCAAAAAAATTTTTAAAAAAATTTCTCCCACCCTATCCTCTAAGAAGACCTCTCTTGGGGGTTCTTTGATGGTCTGTTGTTCTCCAGATGGTTTATCATCCTCAGAATTCCTTACCAATAGCGCTGTGCTGGCTAGAGATCCCATCCCAGCTGGGCACCAGATTAGGGAAGAGGGTGGTAGTTTCTAATTAGGGTAGAGATTTTGTGGACTTTGTTCCTCCTTTCATACTGGAGATAGATATCAAGCATTTAAAGGGGGTCTTCCGAATAGAAAACATGTATGGCATCTCTTCACAGCTTCCTTACTCTGTGTCCAAAATGTTTGGGCCCTGTATAAAACTAAGCAGCTCATAAATTGGCTAGTAGCACAGGATGTATAAAATGTTGAGAGGTTCTCTTAAGATAATGACATTTCTGTGGAGAAACCCATCAGCCGGTCTTGCTGTGGGGGAGGTATATGGGGAGTTGTAGTCTACCACAGAAGAGACTACCAAGTTTGGGGAAAACTTGGGACTTTTTAAGGATGTGTCTCACAGTGTTGGGCAGATTAATTTCTTGACAGATTGTTCTAAGAATGTATGTCTCTTAGTCTAAGAATGGAAAATTGGCATATAACCTGGAAAGGGAGGGGGGAAAAAATCATACTTCCTTTTGTAAATAAGTTGGAATGTGCTGCTGGATATACAGCTTCCCCCTGCCCCCATCCTAACCCAAATCTTTCTCTTTTTATTTATCTTTGGAAGTTCTGGGAAGTGATCAGTGATGAACATGGAATCGACCCAACTGGAACCTACCATGGTGACAGTGATCTACAACTGGATCGCATCAGTGTTTACTACAATGAGGCCACTGGTAAGCCTTCCTCTCCTTCTCTTCTTCCTCCTCCCTCACTGTATTGGCATTATTTGATCCAAATGTTTTCCAACAAATAAATATGAACCCTTGTGGAATTTCCTCATTGTTTCCTCTAGAATCCTTCCTTCTGTTACGTCCTTGTATATTAAAATTGAATATCAGAGGAATATAGAAATAAGTATATGGGCAGGAAGTTATAGTCTGAGCTTGCTAAGAATTTCAATATTCGTTTCATGAACTTAAAAGTAAGCTTCTAAGAGTTAAAAGGGGACATGACCCAGATCCAAAACTCTGCTTTCCTGTGGTGACGTGACCACTGCATTTGGCAACACACCTGCATTTAAGACTTTGCAGCATCTCATGGTCGTGTGGTTGCATTTTATGACAGTTTTGCTGAAAATTTGGTAGTTCCGATTTTTGGCAAAACCACGCCTCCATAGCAAACCCAGGGTTTGCTTAATGACCATGGCATTTGCTTTACATTTGCCCTATTCACTTAACAACTGTTGCAAAAAGTTTGTTAAATTGGGTCCATTATGTGATATAAAACTAGTTGTACAACCTTTGACCATAATAGGCAGGCTCCATTACGGCTGTAATTTGAGGACTACCTGTATTAAATGAAAAGGCCTGGCTCAGGATTAAACCTCATTTTACCCTACAAATATTGTCTAATAAATTTGATTGAGAAAGGTGTATGCCAACAAATATTGGAAAGATGACTATTTTGTAATATTTTTAATACCATATAGAAATGCCTCTTTTTTTCTCTCTTCCTCTTTTTTGTACCTCTGATATCCGCTTCTGTGTTCACTTCCTCCCATCCTATATATTGAGGGATCTCCAAACTTGGCAACTTTAAAGCTTGTGGACTTCAACTCCCAGAGTTCCTCAGCCAGCCATATTGTGTTGGCTGTGGAATTCTGGGAGTTGAAGTCCACAAAGTTGCCATGTTTGGAGATCCCTGCTATAGATAATGTCTGACATCCTTTAATTCATTGACTGCCTTACCAACGCTCAGCCTCTCCTCTGAAATCTTGACAACTAGGCAAAAGCAAGATGCTTGATAGCTAGAACTCAACTGTAATTTGGTTTTGCATCAGAGGAACCTTAGTTTGCTACTGCAATGGACTTTCTGTTACACCTGTTTTTTGTTTCTTTCTCTAGGTGGCAAATATGTCCCTCGTGCCATCTTGGTTGATTTAGAGCCAGGAACTATGGACTCTGTGCGTTCTGGACCTTTTGGACAAATATTTCGACCAGATAACTTTGTTTTTGGTAAGAATCTTAACCTCTTTCCCTGCACCCTTTTACTACTTGTAACTACATTTGATGGGGGAAAATATAGGAGGACTAGATTAGGTTTGAACAACCAGTGTCTTTCGTCAAATTGGGAATGTGTCTTGATAATTTATGTTGCTATTGAAGAAGGAAGAAAAGAAGACTTTGCAGAGCATTGACACAATGGGAGAGGCAAGAAAAGATAAGTGATTTCAGAGCAAGCTGGAATAGCTATTTCTTCTGGAATGTTCGGTTTTTGCCTTCCAGGTTTTGGATCTCTCTGCTTGTGTGGACTTCAACTCCCAGAATTCCTGAGCTGGCACAAAAAGGATTCTGGGAATTGAAGCCCACCCAGTTTTCAGGGGACCGTCGCAGTTCACTGATGCCTAAACTGCTGGTGCCCTCCAGATGTGCTAGGACAGGGGTCTCCAACCTAAGCAACTTTTAAGACTTGTGGACTTCCAACTCCCAGAATTCCTCAGTCAGCTTTGGCTTAGAGCGGGTGTCAGCAACCTGTGGCTCCAGATCCACATACGGTTCTTTGGGCCCTCTGCTGTGGCTCCCTGTCGGGTGATCCCACCACTGGCTGGCCCCACCCCTTGCCCTCCCTTCCCAGTCACTCCTCAGCTGGCGTGAGAAGATAAAAGGAACGGTGAGGGATGGAGAAGCAGCCGGGGCAGAGAAAGAGAGATGTGGGGGAGAGACATAGAGGAGGGAGGGAGGGAGGGAGAGAGAGATGTCGAAAGGATTTTGTGGTTCCCGGTGTTTTTTAACAACTGCTTCTCTGCCCTAATGACCGGCTGGGTAGGCGTGGCTATGGGGTTATGTGACTGGTGGAAGTGAGTGACATTGAGTTGGCCGTGCCCACCCAGGTTTTGTGGCTCCCAGTGTATTCTTTTCTGTGGGAAACAGGTCCAAATGGCTCTTTGAGTGTTTAAGGTTGCAGACCCCTGGCTTAGAATCTGCAGTGGACGAGTCTGGTATGATAAACCAAACAAAGGTTGCTGTCAGGTTTTGAGGTTGTCTCAAATAAATTGCATTTCAAACAAAGTCTTTGAAGAAAAACTCCTATTTATTAAGCATGACATTCTAAAACCTGACTCCATTGAAGCCAACACTGACTTCCAGACCCAAAACCCTCCTTTTCCGTTCCCCACTCCCCTGCACTCATTGGCCATCTTCCAAGTCATTCTATCCCTAATCTACCACTCCAGCTCAAAGGAATTTCCCCCCTCCCATCCCATCTCCTAGGGGATATTATCTCCAGGGAAAATAAGTAAGTGAAAAGTCAAACGTCCCTTTCCAGACGCCTCCACTTCTCCTTATATCAGCACTAGAGTAAATGCAGCTTGAAGTGCTGACAGTTGCATTGTCATCACCCAGAGCCCCTCTAAGAGGCAGTCAAGAAAAGTTTCAGAAGAAAACAGAACGTTTAATTCAACTACATATGCTAGTTTTGTGGCTGCTCAGGAAATAGTCTGGCACAGGAAGGGTTTTGTGGCTCCCGGTGTTTTCTGTGGGAAACGGGTCCAAATGACTCTGAGTGTTTAAGGTTGCCGACCCCTGACCTATACTATTTCAGATAAGTGGCTGTTCATTGTCCTCACTGTTAGGAAGTTTTCTCTTATGAGTGTGAAAAGTTTGAAGGTTCCTTGTATGGTGAGTTTGAAGAATAGTGGTTGCATGTTCAAGAAAATCATCTGTATAAATCTGATGGGAAAAGGCCAGGAAAGTAGAAGTCACTAGCAGTCTAAAGGGAAAAAGGTGGCTTCCTAACCCAATTTAATGATTTTATCCCCCATCTTCTTCTTTACCTTTCAGGCCAGAGTGGAGCTGGTAACAACTGGGCCAAAGGTCATTACACAGAAGGAGCCGAGCTGGTGGATTCAGTCCTAGATGTTGTGAGGAAGGAAGCCGAGAGTTGTGACTGCCTGCAAGGATTCCAGCTGACCCACTCTCTAGGGGGTGGAACCGGTTCTGGAATGGGCACCTTACTGATCAGCAAGATCCGTGAAGAGTACCCTGACCGTATCATGAATACCTTCAGCGTGGTGCCCTCTCCCAAGGTCTCAGATACCGTGGTGGAGCCTTACAATGCTACCCTCTCCGTCCACCAGCTGGTGGAGAACACAGATGAGACCTACTGCATCGACAACGAAGCCCTCTACGACATCTGTTTCCGCACCCTCAAGCTGACCACTCCAACCTACGGGGATCTTAACCACCTGGTCTCTGCCACCATGAGTGGTGTCACGACCTGTCTCCGCTTTCCCGGACAGCTGAACGCCGATCTCCGCAAGCTTGCTGTAAACATGGTTCCGTTCCCTCGGCTCCACTTTTTCATGCCTGGCTTCGCTCCCTTGACCAGCCGTGGCAGCCAACAATACCGGGCTCTAACAGTCCCCGAGTTAACACAGCAAGTTTTCGATGCCAAGAACATGATGGCAGCCTGCGATCCCCGCCATGGACGCTACCTCACGGTGGCCGCCGTCTTCCGAGGCCGTATGTCCATGAAGGAGGTGGACGAGCAGATGCTGAACGTGCAGAACAAGAATAGCAGCTACTTCGTTGAATGGATCCCCAACAACGTCAAGACAGCCGTGTGTGACATCCCTCCCCGTGGCTTGAAAATGGCGGTCACCTTCATCGGCAACAGCACGGCCATCCAGGAGCTCTTCAAGCGCATCTCCGAGCAGTTCACAGCCATGTTCCGCCGTAAAGCTTTCCTGCACTGGTACACAGGCGAGGGCATGGACGAGATGGAGTTCACGGAAGCGGAGAGCAACATGAATGACCTCGTCTCTGAATATCAACAATACCAGGATGCCACGGCTGAGGAAGAGGAGGATTTTGGAGAAGAGGCGGAGGAAGAAGCTTGAGGTTAAAACCTCATGCCCTTTCGACTCCTGTTCAATAAGTCCTCACAAAATAAAAATTTTAAAAAAATTGCATCTCCACCCTCTGTTTCCTTCTCCTTCTTCTCAAAACCTAACCTGTCAGCTCTCTTTTCTCAGACTTTTCTTACAGGGCAGCCTCTAATGATGGTTTAAAGTTGGCTTGGCTTTTATGTGTAGTACATTTTTTCTTTTTTAAGTTGTGGCAGGTACCCAGTAAAATCAGGTCAGGGGAGGCTGTGTGACACACTGGGAAAAGATATGCAGTTCCTTCCTTGCCTATAATTCTTACTGTATTTATTATTCCCCAACCTTCAATATCTCTTATTGCCAACTTAAGTGAAACTGCAGCTTCAAGGGGTCTCCAGCTATGACAAGGAAGTAAGGCAGTTTGGAGCAGACTTATTTTTAGGGGGAAACCCAATACCTTTAAAATGGAACCACTTCCTTGTTCTGCCAAATGCTCCTTTTCATCTTCCTGGCTTTGCCTTAAAGGCATTCGTCCTTTTGATATCTGTAACGGAAAAAGCCTGGCCTGGCCTGGCCTGGGTTGGATTTGGCTCTTTTTTTCTTTCATCAGTGTTCATATCCCATCTGTCCACCCCACTCGGCTTATTCCACTCGGGGTTGACATGTTTCAAATCCCTTGACTAAATCTAAGGATGTTTATCACAGCTTCGTGTCTTGCCAAAACCTAAAACAAAAAACCAGCCCAGCCTCAAAGTACTATTTTGCTCCCTAAAGTGGGCATTCGTTCAGACTTTAGCTTTAATCTTAACTCCCAATCTTAATTGAATTATTAATTGAACATTGCTAACCTCTCTTCTTTTGATTACAATTCCACCCACGTTCCAAAGAAGTGTCCCATTTGTAAATTGTCCTAAATAACATTTGAGACTTGTCTTAGCAATGAAGGCAGAAAAGCTAAAGGCCTTTCTAAGGGACGGTGTCGGTTTTGGACCATAAAGGTACATGCATGTTTTAAGAATGAATTTTCACATAGGAGGGCATAAGATGCACTAAAAAGGAAGCTCGCTTCCACCTCATTCAAATTAGGTGCTTGATTGCTGCTCAAAGAAGCAATTCTATTAAATCTGAAGGAGGGAAGGTGCCATGTTAAGTTCTAATGATTTAAATTTGTTTTAGGGAGAGCTGTAGAGATAGATGTGTTGAGGGGTACGTCTGCTCCAAAAGAAATATGAAGGAAGTTCAAATGTTCCAGGATGTGCAAAGGGGCAATGCATGATGGGATGGATCTTTTTACCCATTCAAATATTTGCTTCAGGTTTACTTAATAATACATGACTTGCCATCTTGTTGCAAATGTAGTATGTAAGTGGTAGCAAGCATCAAATATAGGGAGGCCATTTAGTTAGTGTGGCTAAGTGGAAGAGCATAAAGCACATTTGCTCTTTGCCTCCAAATACTAGATGGAGTATTTTTGGCTAGATGGGTCACCCCTAGAAAGATTGCCTTATATCAGTATTTCTCAACTCAGCAACCTCCAAGATGCGTGGACTCTGTCCTGCTTTTCTCTTGCTTGTTGATCCAACTTTTTTCTCACTTGTTCCACTCCTTTGCCTTCTTTGCTTTTTCTTCTAAAAAAAATCCCTGTTCATATTTGAAAAGTCCTGTGAACAAATAAAAGTTTTTGTTAAAAATGTTTTCTTTGCGTTGAGTGAATCTGATCGTTCACCTTGTGGGGAAAGCCTCATTTCATCCATTAAAAAATTTCCTAACTGGTTAGATCTGGAAATCTGATCAGCAAAGATTGACTGGAAAATATATTACCAGCTAAAAAGGTAAAGGTTCCCCTCACACATGTGTGCTAGTTGTTCCTGACTCTAGGGGGCGGTGCTCATCTCTGTTTCAAAGCTGAAGAGCCAGCACTGTCCGAAGACGTCTCCGTGGTCATGTGGCCAGCATGACTAAACGCCAAAGGTGCACGGAACGCTGTTTATCTTCCCACCAAAGGTGGTCCCTATTTTTCTACTTGCATTTTATACGTGCTTTGAACTGCTAGGTTGGCAGAAGCTGGGACAAGTAATGGGAGCTCACCCCATTACGCGGCACTAGGGATTCGAATCGCTGAACTAGCTGACCTTTTGCTTGACAAGCTCAGCATCTGAGCCACCACGTCCCCACCACGTTACCAGCTACAGAAGTGTAAATTATTTATATGGGAAAATGCCAGAAAGGAGGGAATGCGGTCCTTTTATTACAGAAAAAACCACAGTACTGTCTGTTCTTAGTCACCCACCACTGGGGAGACAATATTGGGGAAAAAATTTTTTTTAAACAAAACAAAAATAATCATCATCCATTACAATCACAGAAAGTGTATCCATCGGTTACAATTCTTTTGTGCTTAATCTCATATCCAAAATTTTACAAATTATTTATCACATTATTATATCTCATATTATTCTCTTTAACATTTCTTTAACAATGGCATTTATTTTCATATATTTTTGGGGAGACAATATTGATGCACTAAACAATACACCGTAATTTATTCTCATTTCATTCAGCAGCCTTGTTCCCTATTCCTTGCCTTGTTAGATCAATTTTGTTGGCCAGCTGAGGTGACCCATTGTGAGTGGTGGAACTTTCTAGAAGCAATTTATCAGAAGCTGTTGGCTTAATGGGCCTCTGCCCTGATTAACTCCACTGACATTTTTATTAATATTACATTGGTATTTTAGATAATATTCATATATTTTTTATTGAGTCACTATCTGCTTCCCCTGTGCTGGCAGAAACCTAGATTTCAGGAGAAAAAAAAAATTTTTTTTAATGCACTGGTGTGAGACTTAAAATTCCCAGATGAACTACTCAGGAGACTCCATGAACAATACAGATTGGACACACAAGGAATTTGTCTTGATGCATACGCTCTCAGAGTACATCAGCCAAGATTTATTCATTTTTATCCCATCTTTATTACTTTATAAGTAACTCAAAGCAGCAAACATACCTAATACGCCCTGAGTCCCACAGGAGAAGGGCGGTATAGAAATAAAATAAAATAAATAAATACTCCTTCCTCTGATTTTCCAAAAAAAAAAAACGATGGTGGATTGGCTTGAGAGAGAGAGTAACTGGCCCAAAGTCACCCAATGGGCTTGCTTTCATGTCTAAGGCAGGACTTGAACTCACAGCCTCCTGGTTTCTAAGCCAGCCCCTTTTAATTACTATACCAAACATGCACTCTCTTCAATACAATTTTGAATGCCCTCCAAACGTCTCCGATTGCAATTCCACTTATAACCAAACCATGAAAAAGAGCCTAGCACATATGGAAGACATCAGTTAAGGTGTCAAATGAACTGTGACAAGATTGGCACCGTGTCAAAACGGACGGCCTTCTGGGTTTGCTGAGAGGTATAGCGGGGAAAAACACACTATATTTCCTTCTGGCGTACACTTTTTTCCCCTCTCTGTAAACAAAGGCTGTAAAAAGCAGACGGAGGAAGTGCTAAGCAGGCTGTTTCATGAGGCCAGATGAGAAAGAGGCTTCCAGAGAAGGAAGGGAGGTGGGGTTGGGCTCAGCCTTTCTATACATGGTAGCAGCCAGGCTCCAGTGCGTCATGCTGTGTGTGGAGCTATCATATTTCCTGCGTGCTTCACCAGATTTATTTTCTAACCACATGACTGGAGAGGCTGGCTCTCTCTTGCTTGCAGGAGCAACTAATAGATTGAGAATGGAAAGGAAGGCAAGACAAAGAAACAACGGATGGAAACTCATCAAGGAGAGAAGCAACCTGGAATTAAGGAAAAACTTCCTAACTGAGGATGATTAACCAGCGCAGGGGTGAAATCCAGCAGGTTCTGACAGGTTCTGGAGAACCGGTAGCGGACATTTTGAGCAGTTCGGAGAACCGGCAAATACCACCTCTGGCTGGCCCCAGAGTGGGGCGGGAATGGAGATTTTGGAATATCCTTCCCCCAGGAGTGGGGAGGGAATGGGGATTTTGCAGTATCCTTCCCCTGCCACGCCCACCCAAGCCACCAAGCCACGCCCACAGAATCAGTAGTAAAAAATTTTGGATTTCACCACTATGTCAAACTCAAGGCCGGCGGGCCAGTTTCAGCCCTCAGGGTGCTTAGGTCTGGCTGTAGGGATGGATGGCCTGGAAACAGCAAAGGACCAGCCTGTGGTGCCTCTGCTAGCGAAAACAAGGCCCTCCGTCTCCTTACCACCAATGGCACTTCCCTTCAGCCTTCAGCCTTCGCCCAAAGCCCCACACCAGGAGGCTGAAGCAGACCCCAAGTCGGAATTTCTGCCCCCCTCTGCCCCATACAAAAAGACCCCAAAGGGGGAGACTCTCTGCAGCAACACCAACGTTCATTGCAGGTATCCGTCCCAGGGGCCGTAGTTTGAGGACCCTGATTTAGTTCAATATAAAAAAATGCAAATAATTTTTCTACGGACCACCAACATTTTCTCAAGGACCACCAGTTGGTGCCGCTGCTCCATATACAACAATTCATTTAGAGACCCTTCAAAGTTACATGAAAAAATGACTTATGACTATTTTTCACAAACTCTTGCAGCATCCCCATAGTCACAGGATCAAACTTCAGAGGCTTGGCAACTGGTTCCTATTTATGACGGTCGCAGTGTCCTGGGGTCATGTGATCAACTTTTGTGACTTTCTGACAAGCCGAGTCCATGGGGAAACGAGAATCACTTAACTGAGTTACAGGTAGTTCTTGATTTACGATCACAATTGAACCCAGAATTTATGTTGTTAAGTGAGAAATTTTGTCCCATTTTACAACTTTTCTTGCCATATTTGTTAAGGGACTCACTGCAATTGTTTTTTTTTTTTTTTTTTTTTTTTTTATTGAAAAGGTTTTCAAATACAAATTTTTCCCCCTTTTTCCCCCCCCTCCCCCCCCTCCCTAACCCCCCCTCCCCACCCTTCCCCCCCTGTGACTTCTTCGTAACAAAAAAAAACCCTAATTCATAACAGATTACTTACTCCCTCCTCAAAATACTGACCTTTACTTACTAAAAGTATTATAAATCCCCCTTTATCCATACATTTCAGAAAAAAAGAAGAGAAAAAAAAACAAAACAAAAAAAAACAAACACATTATACTATAACTATTATAAAATAACTCTAATTTAGCATAATAGTGTTTTATATCTATGCATTATTGCAACAATTCAAAACCACCTTCCACTTTAAAACTATACAATAAGTCCTACTTTAATAACATTTCAAAGCGGGCTCCCCATAAAATCTAATTTAACATTTATTCCACTCTATCCATTTCCTCCACTCCCCTAAATGTATCACTTAAAAATCCCTTTTCTTGAACTAATCAGTCTGTAGCTAGCTTATTCACCCACTGTCTTACAAATTTACCATACACAACAATTCTTGATATCTTTAATTCACTGCCCACACTACTTAAAAATATATATATATATATATTCCATTATATCTAAATAAAAAAAAGAAAAGACAATAACTTTAAATTTATAGTCCATATAATATCTTCTTGAAGTCTTTCCACTGGATTGTTAAAACCAACATCCATAATAGGGTGACATAGCTTGCGGATGCAACAGTTTATTCAAGATCTCCAATCATATCTGCCCCCATCAGTAGTAAACATCTTCTTATATATATAAAAGTAAAAACAACCACCCGAGTGACATTATAATTGTATTCCATATAATAATAATTGTGGGTTTCATCAGGATTATTAATTTCCATCATCGTATTGGGTAACAACCCGATCTTCTGCATGTCCCAATGTGATTCTCTTGCCTTATAATTCAAGATAATTATAATATATTTATCAACACAAAAAGAAGTTTCAAAATAGATAATTCAAAACCATCAATTTGAGGCTCTTTCCATGTCCCAAAATTACGGCAATGCAGAGATCTGCCACTATCCTCAGGATGATATTGACCAATATGTCGCCTCCTCTATGTTTTCACATAATCATTCATATTTTAAAATCACTGGCTTCACTGTTGCTTGGGTTAGAAATTTCTATTTTTGTACAACCTATTTCTTTTTTTGTTTTCTTTTTGTGGGTTTGACCTCCATCCTAATTTTTTGTGTCTCGCATTTCTTTTTTATCCCTTGTATATCCTCTAATTGGTTTCCATGCTTGTCCTTGCCTTGATAAGTCATCACATTAAAATCAGATGGCACTTCTCTCAAATTTGTAGATAATCCAGCTGGGGTATCCGATAAATCCAAAGGCAATTTATCTGGTACAGTCTCTGTCTTTAGTTCCAGCTCCTTCTGCTTATCCTGTATTATATCTGAAGACGTTAAATTCATTTTCAACCTATTTTGATAAAATTCTTCCGCCCTTTCAACAGTATTTAACTGGTATCTTTCTCCTTGATATCTCAATATAATACCAACTGGGACGTCCCACCGGAATTGAATATTTCTCCTTTTTAACTCAGACACCAGAAAGCCAAATTTCTTCCTTTCCATTAATATCTTAGGTGGGAGTTCCTTGTAAATCCAAATCTTTCTTCCATACAATTGCAAATTAGAATTGAAGGAATTTTGCACAATTTTATTCCTAATTTCTTTATCTGAAAAATAGATTACCACATCTCTAGGCAATTGCCTTTGCTTGGCAGTCCAAGAGTTTATTCGATAAGCTCTGTCAATCCTA